GATTCATCCATGTTATTGAATTGATTGCAGGAGATAGAACAGAATGTACGCTTAGACTGGGAGCCCTATATGGAGTATAAATAATTCACAAATATTGACACTCTCCTATGTCGAGAGCTAAAATTCATAATAAATAGCAAGTGTATATCTATATTTGTTATGCAATTGCTGTGACCTCAGGGATTCTTCAACAATTGAACTGATATTTTTATTTTATGTCCAGTCTTGTTTATGTTGACACGTTATGTTGTGTTAACAAGAATTTTGGTCAACATTAGAGGTTAACAGAGTGTAACATTGTAAGATGTGGTCTATAACTCTTTTGACATAAAATCTAGCTTCCCGATGTTTTAGTGGTAGAAGCCTGGCTGAAAATGTCTGCATTCTGAACGCCAGTTCATGGCAAAAACTTATCAGCCATGCTGGCGAAGTAACCTCCCCCTGTATATGTCAAGATAAAGTCTTTAACATGTGGGAAAACATTTTTTTGTTTGAAGCCCCACCTTGGCTGCTGCCGGGGGCCCTGAATACAGCCGCATAAATATGGCCTAGCCATAGATATGGCCTAACGGCTGAAAGGGGTTTCTGGGACCTCTCCACGGGTGATCCTCATCCGCATGGTGGAACTATGTGTCACCGGGTGTTCATCGCTTGTGAGATGTCCTAGTGGGGTACAATCACCTATCTACCTTCCCCTGTATGAGACGATGACGACTTGCACAAGTGTGGAAAGTACACTGACAAGCCACACAGCTAACGAAGAGAGTATCCACTGCACAAAACAGTGTCGTGGAGATAGCACGACTATCTTCAACAAGCATATAATCTATACTACTCAACAACAGAAGAGATACACATAGCTTCGAAAAGGAACATAATTTAATCATTAATTTCATCAAAATGTTTACATTCCAAATCTATTTTTTACATGCACCATCGGATCTTAAGATCTGTTACAGTCTCTTGGTTGAACCCGCACAATTAAGAACATATCTCTCATCACCATAATCATCATCCAATAACGCGTTTCTGTTGACTATCAGACTAGCTCCGCCACCTGTGGCGGTCAGTTGCGATGGACTTCATGGTTGCGTGCTTGAGGCTTGTCCAGTCAGTTAGTTTCTGTAACCAGGTCTTTGTTAGTCTGCCTCTCCTCATGCCTCTAGCCAGACTTTTTGCAGATAAGGATAGATTTAATCACATTATTCAATTAGTATCCTTCTGATTTTGAATTGTGTAGGGTTTTTATTACCTAGCAATCGATCAGCTATAGATAGAGTGTACAACTGATGGAAGACAAGCATGGTATTGCAATGAGAATATAAATGATTGGGGTAGTCGGTGAATTTAAAGCAATCAATTAAGCTTGTCTTTTAGACGGCCGACAAACGCAAAGACACGAATTTACAGTTTTGTGAACTGTTAAAGGTAACAAACAAGTTAGTTGCGTATCCTTTAAAGGACGTTGCAGAACCAACCCCAGCATTTGTTGGCTGTTGTGGTTTTTCTAGTCAAACAAACGTCCAGTAGTTTGTCATTGCTTCTGGACCGAAATACCACTGTCGAAACCAACGCAGGGCACAAGGCCCGCAGCTGGGATCGAACCCGGCACCCCGGCATTACGAAGTACATTAGTAACGCCTAAGCCACAGACTCTGACCAAGGTAACAAACAGAAAAGTAAAACTGATCGTAGCCACAGCGGAATAAACACAGGCTTATACAAAAATTTACTGGACACTGGAGATCGTTCGCTTCCCCGCACGGGTTGACAAAGTTCACATACACCGATTCATTCATATCGATACTTGATTGATTATAAATAACAAAAGGTCCGTTTTTTTTAAACGCTGTTGCTATGGAGATTACACGTTGTTGATTCGCATTTTGCGATCTACATAGGAGGACTAGAATATTTATAATGGAGCCCGCCTGCAAACAACTTGATATTTTACATATCAAACAAAATCACTTTATCAAGATATGCTAGCACTCATGTGCATCGTATGTTCATATTTTCTGCAATAAAGCATAATTAATACATACGATGTATAAAACTGTTAGTGTTAGAAGACAACAAGATTATAATTTGAAGCCATTTACTTGAGCCGTAGGAATACAACACACAAAGAATTCAGTGTATTCTTTGCTGCTACTACTTCGGGGGGGGGGGGGAATCTTTTAAAGGAGTTACTTTGCTGCGTACTTAGGGGGTAGGGAAGGGGGGGGAGGGGGGGGGGGGGGGGGTGGATTAGGGCCAATAGTAGAGGGAGGAAATAAGGATTACGAGGAGTAAGAGAATTTAGGGGGGGGGGGGGGGGGGGGGGGGGGAGAAGGGGGGGGGAGGGGGGGGGGGGTTAGATTGGGGGGGGGGGGGGGGTGGGATCCTGTTAACATAGTTACTGTTGTTTAGCTTGCCCATTCTGCCTTAGTAAGCAGTGAACTAGAAAAGAATTGAAATGAGCATCTGAATTTTGTAAAGGCCGCTTACAGACAATTGATTTGTCTTACAGTAATTGCGTCTATGTGTACTTTTCTGCCTGCACATATCAATAGAGGTATTATAGACATAAAACACAATAATAACAATGTTAAAATACAACAGTTTTACATAAAAAAGGTTACGCAGTTTAACCTTAAACTCTTGCAGCTTCGGTAGGTAGGTGGGTAAGTTGTTGTACCCCACCAGGAAGGACATCACGCAAGCGCTAAACACCCGGTGACACAACCTAACAGTTTAACGCAGGTCAGAAATTCTATTTAGCTTTCTGTCTAAACAAATCTGGCATAGAGTTGTTCTATTAATAATTTTTGCATGTGCTACACAAATACCTGGGAATTTCACTTCAGATACGCACACAATTTGTAGCGCTATTTTTTTTAGTTTTCAGTCCGTGAGAGTTTCCACACTTTTACTAAAGTGTAGAGAATGTCATCGCGGTAAAACTAACGTTGCTCTCCCCATTTTCACAGTGTTACACACTAATAACTCACTTCTGGTTGGTCGATCTTAAGACACATTACTTTGGCACAAGGTTACGGGGGTTTTACTCAATGCCATTAATGTCGCATGTTCTATATTTCAGCACGCCAGCGATTTTTATTCTCCAGAAACATGGACAAACTGGGTCTAACAAAATCCAACTAGAGAGTGCTGCGACCTATGTCACAGGCATTCTCTTTCTCTGAATAAAAACGTAAATGCATGACAATCCAGAAAGCAAACAACAGAGAGGCACACCCACAACCTGCAGGAAGGTAGACCAGCCCAATAAACTTATGAATGAAACATGACCTACGTTGGGGAGACCAACGTTAGTTTTACTGATATCGCTGTATGACAATGGCCAGTTTCGTCGTAAGATTTCTGTAGTTCAGATACCTAATTCAACATTACAATACTACTATACAAAAGGAATCCTATTGAATCCTCTTTTGTTCTTGTATATCGTCTTGCTTTTAATAGAATTTGCAGCTTTTATGAGCACAGTGTATTGTAGTGATCGCGGCGTCCATGGCTTAGGCGTTTCGAGTCAGACTCGTAATTCTAACGTACCGCGAACGAAACCCACTGCTAGCTGCGTGGATTTTTATCACGGCATGGGGCGTCGCAGGTCGACCCATACTAAAGTGGGTACCAGGTTGGCTGTCCTGGGGAAGTAAAGACGGCTGGCATAATGCTGACCACATTACCCACCAAGTGCCGATGGTCTGTAAATATATGGGCGCTCTTCCCATATACCCGATACGCCTAAAGGCGGGAAAAGGGATCTTTACTTTACTTACCATAAGCATAGACCCAAAAATGCAATAGAATATTGATACTATTCGTTGCCGGGCAGAATCGAATCAGCATACTTTCTCTCTTTTATGTTTTAGTGTCTCCGTCTGCCATCAACGGGCGAGTTCTGCAAATTATGTAGGCAGTTTGTTTCTGAATTTTGAATTATATCATGGACCTCATTATAATCAATCAGTTACAAAGGACATGTAAAATTGATTACCTGTCACAAAGTAGCTACGAAATGTGAGAGATACGCTAAACCAAATCAAGCATTCGAAGGCAGTGAAAATGGGAAAGAATAGTCGGAATCGATCTATCAAGTAAATATTTCAACATGATATTTAAAAGGACGACAAAGTGATAGCATCGGTAAAAGTACTAGAGAATTGTTAAGGGCAACAACAACAAATTTGACTTGTTTAATTACAACAATTTCGTAATGGTTTGAAACAAATCATCAAATAAAATCTCCCACCGTTGTGCTTTTTAGTGTATTATTCAGTGCAAACTGGAAACTCCCATATATTTCTTCTTCTTCTTCTTTTTTCTTCTTCTTCTTCTTCTTCTTCTTCTTCTTCTTCTTCTTCTTCTTCTTCTTCTTCTTCTTCTTCTTCTTCTTCTTCTTCTTCTTCTTCTTCTTCTTCTTCTTCTTCTTCTTCTTCTTCTTCTTCTTCTTCTTCTTCTTCTTCTTTTTCTTCTTCTCTTCCACCTTGTACCTCATCGGAGTGTCGGGGGGAGATGTAACGTTCGTTGATGAGCTCTTTTAAGAGCACTATTAAGACTCATGTTCATTTCTTTAAAGCTGTTCTTAATGCCATCACTCCATATTTTCCGAGCACTTCCACTTGCTCTATACCCGTTGTAACGTTTTAGTGTGGCTTGCTGTGGCAGATAGTACCAGGATATTCTTGTTAGGTGTCCAAACGACTTCATTTGTTGTTCTTTGATTACCTCCAAATACGATGCACATAAACTGACACTCTTTCCTTGGGTGTACTTAATTTCGACACCGTAAGATGCAGGAGGAACAAGAGCAGATGATCTGAGATATCATGCTTAACATTTACCGTGTTGAGTAGTAAAATAATTACGTGTACTCAAGAGTTCTCGTAACATTGAATAAGATCGAACGCGTTAAAAAAACTGGAGCTGAAGAAAGTGGTATGAAACATCGCTCGACTGTGACTCTACGCTTGAAGCACAAAAGCAATATTGTAATGGAACATTTATGTACCCTTTACCGCTTGAGCTTCACTTACTGCCTTATACACGGCTTTTCATCGTTGACATCCTCGTTCTCCCTGGATGCCATTGTCTTTCCGGGGCTAAACCGAGATGTCTACTACAAGCGGGGAGATCTTAACATCGGCGCCATAATGATGTTGACGTCAGGAACTGACGACATGGGCTGCTCCAAGAAATTGTACCCCAACTCCTGGGCCATCGAGTATCCAGAGGCTGTTGCCTTCGCCGTTGAAAAGGTCAACAATGACACCGCACTGTTACCTAATCTGACTCTCGGGTTTTATATTATTGATGACTGTACCGACCCAAGCATTGCCTTAGCACAGGCATTGACATTTTTACCGCGAAATGAGTCCTCCTGCTCAATTGATACCTGCCCTGGAAGGTCTCTAGAGAACAATTCGTATCCTTTATCGTCTAGATATTCTACAGAACCTCTTCCATACTATGAGGTCATGGGTATTTTGTCTCCAATTCTAAGCACTGCTGCAGTACCGGTATCTTACATGATGGCGGCTGCTAAAGTACCAATGATTGGCTATACCACTACCTCTGACGAATTCAATGACCGAACCTTGCATCCATACTTTCTCAGGGTAGTCACGCCTAATAAATATCAAGCGATTGCAATGTTAGAATTCATATGGTCTAACGGCTGGACGTATATATCAGTAGTCTATTCGCAAGGCACCTACGGAGAGAGAGCTTTTGAAACTATCAAGGGCTCGGCTGCGAAGTACAATATTTGCATCGCTGTTTCATACAGAGTAGGAAATGAAGAGAACATGACTGCAGTAGCAAGAGGTTTGAATGCAAATTCACGTGCCAGAGCAGTGATACTTTTTGCAGATGAACAGCCGGCAAGAAACCTTTTTGCCGAAATTGAAATACTCGGTGCTATCGGTCAGTTTATTTGGATCTGTTGCGATTCAGTAGCCAATGCTAGTAAAGAAAAGCTTCTGCCACACTTAAAGTCCGTTATGGGAGCTTTCATGTTTATCTACAGCACCGCTTTAGTTCCGGAATTCTACGATTATATCCGTAGGCAAAATGTGTCCACATCTACAAACCCTTGGTTCAAACCAGCTTGGGAGAACACTGCTGGGTGCTCTTTCGCTGATGGAAGCTGCAAACCAAACGAAGACCTCACAAAGTACGCCAGCTTCGAGTACTCTCCAGCTCCGTCATTGGCAATGGATGCTGTTCTGACATTTGCCCACGGAGCACATAGTTTAATTTCACAGACCTGCCCAACTGCAAATAAAGACAACGTGCGTGATTGCGTCAAGAGAGATCTGCTGTTAGAATCTCTTTTCAATGTATCCTTTAAGGGTTATACTGGAACGATACAATTTGACAAAAACGATGATTTTCAAGGGGTGTACTTTATAAATCAAATGTTGTACGATGAGGTAGAAGTGTTACCTAGCAACGGCACTGGTAACATGACCTTCATGAAAGACTTGGTCCAAACAAGAGTGGCGTATTACGACGCTTCAGACGGTTCACTTATCTACACCAACGTCAACATTTCCTGGGATCACTTGCTAAACATAACCAGGATTGTTCCCCTCTCGCAGACAAAACAAGGACCTGAGGTTCCCGAGTCAGTCTGCAGTGGTCCTTGCCGCCCAGGAGAGTACAAACTCCAGAAGGAGCTAGTCTGCTGCTGGGACTGCCGAAAGTGTAGAGACAATGAAAAGGTCACATCTAAACCAGCTGGCTGCAAGGCATGCGAGCAGTTCACTTGGCCGGATCCTAAAACTGGCTATACATCATGTCTTCCCATCCCGCTGACCCACGTTCAGCCGTCAGACACGTTTCCTGTGATACTGATTTGCCTAGTTTTACTGGCAATCATAGGAACATCTTTCGTCGTCGCCTGTTACATCTACTTCCACGAAACTCGAATTATGAAGGCTGCAAGCCGAGAGTTGAGCTTTCTTCAGTTTGTTGGCATTTTTGTGGGTTATATCACCGTAATCTGTTTCCAAACCACACCAACGCCGAATCTCTGCAGCGCTCTCTACTTTATGTTCTGCCTGAGCTTCGCTTGGCTCTATTCTCCGTTGCTGGTTAAAGCTGTCAGGATCTATCGTATCTTTCAGAGTGGCTCCAAGAACAATCAGACGCCTAGATTCGTCAGCCCCACATCACAGATCGTATTTGCTTCTCTCATCATTTTATCACAGGTGAGTCTTGATATGAACTGCTCATTTACTGTCTAAATTTATCACAAAATGTACATAGTAATAATATTATATAAGTTTAAAAAAAAAAAGCATGAATTTGATTTACAAACAGCATTAAAGTGACGTTATCTATAGAATTATTTTACTGGTGGTACGAAATACCGGCTTCATTTAGGCATATTTTTTCGGTGGTACTGTAATAAAGCTCGACCCAGCCTTGAGTGGGTAGCAGGTGCAATTCTGTGAAGTAAAGGCGGCTGTCGTGATACTGGCCACATCACAAACCAAGTGCAAGTTGGTCTATACAATATAGGTTTAGCCCTATATGCCCAATACGCCTAAGGGCGAGGAAAATAAACCTTTACTTTATACTATTACTATAATAAACGGTCGGCGTCTGTGGCTTAGGCGTTGCGAACGTCGTTTGTAATGCCGGGATGCCGGGTTTAATCCCAGATGCGGGCTCTCGTCTTGCATTGGTTTCGACAATGGTATCAAGAAGCCGACGGTTCAGTACTACTGGACGTAAATTTGCCTTTAAAAAACCTACAACAGACCCCCCCCCCCCCCCCCCAAAAAAAAAAAAAAATGCTGGGGTTGTTTCTGCAACGTCCTTTAAAGGATATGCAACTAATTTTATCATAAACGGGAGCCGCCATTTTAAAACAGCTAGACGCTTGCTTGAGCATCGGAAAGTCATGACGAAGCCAGACTTTTTTTTTTCTTTTTTTACTCCAGAAAATTACCTTGGCTCCCAGGTCGACCCAGCCTTGAGTGGGTGACAGATATAGTCCAGGGAAGTAAAAGCAGCCGGTATGGTGTTGTCGACATCAGCCATCGAGTGTCGATTTGTCCACATAATTTGCGTCTATCCCTATGTGTCCAATAGGTGTGAGTACATGGAAGAGGGTCCTTTACTTACTAACTATAATAAGCACTTTCTGGTGAGTACCGGCACCTTTGTTTTAGACACTGAGTGCCAGTCTCTTTTTTTTTTTTTTGGGGGGGGGGGGGTTGGATCCTTGGTGTGATCTATTAATAAAACGCGATAAGCTACTTTATATGTCCTGGCGTAATCTATATAAACAACAATGTAAAATGTCCCTTTATTTTCTTCTTCTTTTGCCTTTCTAGCCCCCTATGGAGCATAATCCCTCAACCAACTCACGCCAAGTCGTTTTATCCTTGGCTATCGCATGGAGCTCTTCCCGTGTCCTTCCTATTTGTCTAACTTCATTCTTTCTTGCCAATAACTTCTACACAAGATTCATTTTAGATTCCCTTGATCTGATCCCAGCAGACTTCAGCGCCGACATCTTCAACTGACTGCTGCAACACCTGGTACTTATTAGAGTGTACGTTTGTGATTACCGCTAATCTCCGAAAACGTGTGTCTCTATATAATATTTTTCAAACAAAACACGAACTGCATTGCTCCAGCGACGATCACTTTAGTATCTTTTTTTCCCTCGCCGCTTTGCCGGCGTGGTTCTTTTTTCTGCGAACTTTGGCTATTGACCTCAGATACCTGCATATAATAAAAAAAAAAAAAATTTTGCGTTCGGTTTCGTATGCTCAGATCAGACCATCAGGTGGGTTGCCTCTATGAACTCGCATGTCAGTAGCAGGTCTTTCATAGTTCCCCATAGCTTGCTCTGCACACTTTGCTCTTGAGGCCAGGTGTCTTTTCGAAGTTGAAGATAGAGTGGGCAGGTCTGCGGAACGGGCTCGGGTGTGTGTGGTCCTGTTTGACAGGCACACTGTGGGGACTGTACAACCTTTATTTTATGCATGAGGTATTTGAGCTTGCAGTGTTCTGTTCGTAGACGAAAACTTGTATCTTGCTTTCTGTTGAGTTTGTTGATGGGGTATTATGCATGTTTACTGTTAGTTTGTTCTCTCCACAATCCCTGTATATTTTTTCCTTGATAAGTGTTCTGATTTCTTGTAACGACGATTGATGGGTGTGTTGTTTCTCCTTTGTTCTATATTTAGCAAGTCTGTATGCTAACTCATTTCCCGGTTTGCCGCAGTGAGCCGGGATCCACTGGGGAGCGATCTGATTGTTTTCCGGAGTCTGTTTAGTTGGCGGGTCGGTTCTCTTTCCATGTTATCTCGGGAATCCCGCTGAGTCGCCTGGAGGACTGACATGCAGTCACAAAGGAAAACAATTTTGCTGTATAAATTGACAACCGGTTGTTGAAATGTAAGGAAATTTAACGACCAGTTGTTGACAGAATGTGTGTAAATTTCAAGATGTGGGGATATAAAAAAGCTGGAATTAAAAGTTATGAGAATATAAAGACAGTTGTTTACAGAATGTATGCGAATGAAACGGCACACTGCCATTGTGCATTACGTTGCAATCACATGACCCTACATTTCTGAGTTGATAGACGCGCAATCGTTATAAAACTATTTCAAATCACTGTTTCCGATTGCATGGTTACATTGAATTTTCATTTCTGATTTTATTATTCCGTGTCATATAAACTTTCATCTGAGCTGTGTTGTTTGCCATAACGTTCATTTTGGAGTATAGTGGGTTTATTTATTATTTTTTTAAGTCCGTTCTTTTTAAAAAAAAATTCCTTTGGTACCAGCAAGGAGATAGAATTATAATTTTTAGAGAATGCATCTTCCCTGTAAGCAACACACGGATGTGAGTCGTGGACTATCTCCCAGTCCTTAAGAAAAAGAATAAGGGATTTTAAGCTGTATTGCTATCGAAAGATTCTCAGAAAATCTTGGACAAAGAAAAGGAGAAATATTGACATCTTTAAAGATCTGAAAATCAAGGAACATTGGCTAATAAACAGCATCCTGTCCTGGAAGATGAAATATTTTGGTCATATCAAGCGCCACGACGGACTGGACACAATAAAAGCAGAAGGCATGGTACCAGGAAGGAGAGGCAGGAGCCGAACGACGCGAAGATAGGCATAGGATATAAGTGACTCCTTAAGTATGAAAGTGTACGAGGCGGGAGCGCTGGCGAGAGATCGAGTTTCTTTTATTCAGACCGTGATGAGAGCGACATTCTGCAAAGCACCTGCTACATGATGATGATGAGTGTTTCGGTGAGGAAGAGAGAAGTAGATGGATTTTGGGTGGGAGGACGAGTGATAGGGTGATGATAGACACTGTTAACTGAGAGAGCTTACTGTCACAGTAACTGCTATGGGGCGCTAAATCCTCTGGCTCACGACCGCCTGTCTACACCGACCTGGAAAGATGGTAAAACAAACAGCAGTAACATTATTAATAGTTGTCGTGGCGGTAGTAGTAGTTGAACTGGTACTCAATGGATGCTGTGGTAAATATTACACTGGCCGCATTTATTTCTCACTACCATTTCTGCTGCCCATTTTAGTCTGGGTGGACATAGATGCCAAGGTCAGTTACAAAAAATGTCGTCAGGTTATGAATTTCAAATACTTTGGAGAGGGAGAAAGAAGTAGTCGGTGGATTGTGTGTGTGTAGATGTTTTTTTTTAAATTGCGAATAAGTTGGTTTCATAATAGTAAGCTTTACTTTCAGCTCTTTAAAAATTACAAACAGCTTTAGCATGTAACAAAGAAATAACTCTCCCCCCCCCCCCCCCCTCAACAAGACAATTTACACAACCAATAATATAAAGACACAGTCATATGTTGCGTGTTCTAGAGTCGGCAAACCAGTCTTATCTCTTTTTCTGCGCAGACAAAGATTGCAAAATTAACCATAATAGACAAGTGCTCTTTCTATTTTCTTTCTTTTCCATTTAGCAAAACTAAGCCACAGCAACGCGTGGCCGAGCACAGCTAGTATAATAATAAAAAGGCGATACACTAAAGAATATGTCCGGGCGTAATCAATTAATAAAAAGTAAATAAGCTACAGAATATGTCCGGGCGTAATCTATTAATAAAAGGTGATAAGCTACAGAATATGTCTGGGCGTAATCTAATAATAAAAAAAAAAGCGATAAGCGTTAAAATTTGTCTGGCGTAATCTTTTAATAAAAAGGCGATAAGCTATGGAATATGTCCGGGCTTAATCTACTGATAAAAAAGGCGATGAGCTACTTTACTGAATATGTCCTGGCGTTTTTGTTGTTGTTCGTCCATTACGAGTGATTGTTGTGTGCTATCTGAGTTACACACTAATCTGCACACTACCAAGTGTCTAAAGATGTAACTTTCGCTCCCTCACTCTCGCAGCAGGACTCGACGACAATAGTTCCGTCACACAGCATATTTATTTCTCAGAACACAAGAGGGTATACACAAGCACTCACATTAACAAAACTGCAGAGACGTAGACATTGATCCCAACTGACATTCGCACGTAGTCCTCACTCGCTCTGTATCAAATTGGAGCGAGTTCTCTTCCTGACCACTACAGCTTCCAAAGGTCTACAGCGTCCCACAACTCTGGGCTCGCCGTACAGCCGAAATGGACAAACTCTCCTATCCACTGGATCATGATATTAATTCAGCAGACAACCGCGGCTGACTGGAGACGGACTTCCCTTGCCGTTCTCCAAAAGCACAAAGCACGTCAGCCTGTCGAAGGACTCCGATGACCGTCAGTACTTCTAACACAAGTCCCCATAGCACACAGCTTTCGTCGGCATCCCCACTGCTTTATTTCCGTAGTGACCCTACGTCTCCTCGCGTCGTCACCCAGAACAGTTACTATTTGAGCATCCCGTCCCCTTGGACTTACTTCGCCAGCGGGACTATACCTTCGACCAGTACCGCATCCTCAGCCCTTACTCAGACCTTGATGCCTGATAGTTGTACGGTACTCTGTCTGTCTGCACTCCGTACCACAACACTTACTCAGACCTTAATGCCTGATAGTTGCACGGTACTCTGTCTGCCTCCACTAAACCCTTACACAGACCTTAATGTCTGATCGTTTCTCAATACTCTGTCTTGGACTCTAACTGGCTCGCAGCACTCTCGTGCTGGGTGTGTACTACACCCGAACTTCCCGAGTGCTTTAGCCCTATG